CATTTTCAAAATCAAGATCGCACCCGGTGACTTATTTAAGCTCCTGTAAACTGTGTACAAATTTCCCGAGAAAACGAGATCCTTGTTGTGGTAGCCTTCTTTATCCTGTGGTGGCAAACAACTGAAGTGGCCCTCAAAACTGACTGGTCAAGGAACTATGCTTGAAATTATTCTGACAAAATCGAAGAAAATCAGACCTTACAAAATTGCAGGGCTTCAGAGTTTTGAAGCAACGGAGACCGTGTAGAAATTATGGAAACAAAAATAGAACGTAGTTCTGCCAGAGCAACAGAGCAAGCTGCAAGAATAGCGAGAATATTGTAGCCCTACCATGTTGTTTTTTGCTTTAGTAGAGGTTTTACGGCGCTCGCAACTGCATAAGGTCATAATAAATGAGTGCCAGAAGATCAGAGGTGTTACAAGAGAGTAACAAACATAAAAAAGAAGGAGGGGAGATAAGGACGACAGATTTTTGATAGGAAAGAAGAAGCAAGCCACACCAGAACACCCGCCAACCACCCACCTGCCTTGTTGACTAGAGGGCTCGCTGAAAAGGAAAGTAACATTACATTTTTTGTTAACATTAGTGAAGCAAAAGCCCTGGAGGACAGTCGTTTAATACCAGGCTTATGAGAGGGTATTGGGGAGAGCAGGGGGGGGGGGACTGTGTCAGCAAAATATCCGATTTCGTTTTAGCTCGTTGTTACAAGTTTACCAATGATCCCTTGAGTATCTCATCCTTTTGAACTTTGAGCCAAGTCATCTGAAAGACTAGTGTCTATTAAAACTCATTCAATTTGAGACTTCCGATAGCCGACTCTGCTATGAGCGAAGAAAAAAAGCGGGAAAGAGTCGGTAAACTCTCTGAGACTTTTAACTCGATGGTGTAAAGCCAAAAGATTCCAACAGAAAGCTGCAAACGTACGTTTTAGTGCGTGATGCTTATCTCGTAGTACGTTTTGGTTCTGGATACACGAATTATCCCAGGCTTGTGATTGGTGGTTTTTGATGTCCTTCAATAACACTGTAGCCTGCCATTGGTCGATTTCAATGTCTCTTTGTTCTTCTCCGCTAACAAAAGCAGTAACTGTACGCACAGTTTGAGTGTGTACGTGTGTGTGTGTGTCTGTCTGTCTGTCTGTGTGTGTGTATGCGTTTATGAGTGTATGTATATGTATTAGTGTGTGTTCGTGCGTGTATGCATGTGAATATATTATGAATATATTTGTATTTGAGGATAACAATATAAAAAAAACGCGGGAAGAGGGGATGGGGCGGGGGAGGGGGGACATAAACGTGTGATTGTGAAAGTAGGTGGGTGGTTGAGTGGGTGGGCATGATGGCGAAAGCGGTGGCGGGGAGGGGGTGGGGGGGGAATGGGAGGAGCGAGAGCGTATAACACGAGTACGTATACATTAGTGACGGTAAGAGCCTTTAAGAGGATGGGGTGTACACAAAAAGGAAACCAGATCTCATCGCGGCCTTCCGGGTGTGGTACGACGAACGTCCGGGTATACTTTGGACACTACTTCAGACTGGGAGATCGCTGTCTGACCACTTGTCTCTAGTCTCCCCCCTCCTCCCCTCC